AAATTGGGTTGGATAAATTCCATGTTTTCAAATTTGATCCAAAATTCAAATTTGAACTATAAATGCAGCGTTCAATTTAAAGTTGGATAAATTCCAAATTTTCAAATTCATCACAAATTCRAATTTGAATCATATTTTGACTTTTAAATTAAATTCAAAGTTAAAAAAAACTTCTGAAAATAATTTAAATTTCAATGGATAAATTTCAGATGTGTCATTTTAAATTGGGCAAATTTATTTTGGGCCAATCATAAATKGACACGTCATTATCTATTTTATTTAGGGATTAATTATATATTAACCCTAAATTAAAATTAAAGATAATTTGACAATTAAAATATGTAATTGGATCATATGAGTATTGAGCTTGGAATCGATTTGGTTCACAATCTTGGCCCAAAACCCAATTTACCATAAAATAAAATGGATTAATATTTAAATTTAAATAAATCCATTTAAAGAATTGGGCTTGGCCCAAAATTACCCAAGCCCAATGGCCCACCAAAGCCTATGGAAACCTCTATAAATAGAGGGAATTCACACCAAATTAAAGACTCTCTGAAGACTTGAAGATTCGAGGACCAACTTGAAGACTTTGAACACTTGAAGACTTGRAAACTTTCGAAGAACATATAACTTCGATCCAAATTCAAGAACAAGCATCTCAATCTTCACATCAAGTTCGAGAGAAAGAATCAGAGGATAAAGATTGGAGATTGAATCCACTATACAACATATACTACAAATATAAAAGTTCAACTCTACGAAATATAATTTCTCTGGAAATTTCGTGTGAACAACGTGAAAGTTTTTAAATGATAGAAGTATAATTAAAACTAATCTCAAGATTTAAGGGAATTTAAATAATCGAGCTATAAACACCAATGAAGCGTCCATTAATATTCATGTAAGCATATCACCGAACAAAATGACATGGATCAGGTCAATAATACATTTTTTTAGGTAAAAGAATATATATTGGGTTAAAAAACATATTTGACCTCCATAAATGCACGAAATTAAACCATTATGGCCTTGTGTTCAATAAGGGCCAATGTAAATAGCAAAGAGCTTAGAGAGAATGACCATGGTGACCACCTACCTAAGATTTAATATCCTACGAGTTTCCTTGTTCAATAAGGGTCAATTTAAATAGCAAAAAGCTTAAAGAGAATAGGTTCAAACCATGGTGAACACTACCTAGGATTTAATATCCTACGAGTTTCCTTGCAACCAAATATAGAAGAGTCAGATAGTTGACCCGTGATTAGTCGAAGTGTGCGCAAACTAACCTAGACACACGAATGAAAAAATAAAGGAAAAAATATACTTTTGGCCCTGATGTTTGAGTTAGGTGTCTATTTAGTCCTTCAAATTTMAAAAAAAACACTTTTATCCCTGAAGTTTGAGTTAGGTATCTATTTGATCCTTGAAGTTTCAGAAAAGACATTTTTTATCCCTAAAATTTTGAAATTTGTTCTAAATGGTCGGTGAAATGAGTTAGTCAACCTTGACTAGGCTGTTAGATACTGAAGTGGYTTGCTAACTTGTCAATCTTGATAAATCATCTGGCAAATGAACTAGAAAATTAGAATTTGATGAATTTAAAATAATAAAAGTTAAGGGTCTATTTGATAACCATTTCGTATTTCGTTTTAAGTTTTTGGTTTTTGGTTTTTTGTTTTTTAAAAATTTGGATCGTTTGATAATCAAATCAATTTTTGGTTTTTTATTTTTCAAAAACCATTTTGAAATTCTAGGTAAATTAAAAAAAAAAAGTAGTTTTCAAAATCTGATTTATTTTGAAATTCTATGTAAATTTAAAAAATAAAAAAATAATAATTTTCAAAAAAAGATTTCTATTTTTCAAAATCTGTTTTTTTCCTTTCAAGTACTCAATTTTTTTGTCTGGTAAATTTCTCTACAAATTTTATTTTTCTCACTCTAAATATTTTGAATATTTATTATTATTTGTCTCAGTTTTTCATCTCTATCTATTTTTATTTTTTATTTTTTTCTAACAAATCAGTTTTATTTATCTCTCTAAAAATTTAACATTTTTCCGAACTTTTTTCTGTTTAAAATTTCGTCTTTTATAGCTTTTTTTTATCTTCCTAACCTATTTTTTCTCTGAAAATTATATSTTCTTTTCACGCTCAATTAACTTTTATTGTCCAGTATAATTTTTCTCTTTCGTTCTAATTCCTTTTTTTTTTCTTTAACATATCTTTTCCTCTCGACTTTACTTTTTTTTCTCTAAAATTTTTCTCTTTTTTTCTTTAACTTTTCTTTCACTCAAACTTTTTATTTATCTCTCTAAAATTTATCCTCCAAAAATTTATTTACTTCTCTCTAAACTTGTACTTCCATGTCTCTATATTAGAAATGGCAAAAATTTTCGCAAGGTCGAGCCCTAAAAAATAGGAAATGCATGTCCCGACCCCGTCCTCGATTCCATTCTTTAAATAATTAATATATATTTATTACACTTTTTATTTTTTAATTCTAAAAATAATTAAAAACAATTATAAAACCGATAATTTTTCTTGAGAACCTCTCTCGGATCGAAGAATGAGGTGGAGATGAGGATTAAAAGTTTTCACGAGCACGAAAATGGGGGAGATCATCCTCACTCGCACCACACCACTATCGTCTCTACTTTACATAGAATTTTCAAATATATTTGGAAAAACTAAAAACCATAAACACTTATCAAACGGGTGGTTTTTTTTTAATATTGTTGTAAATGAAACTTATTTTAAAAATATAGTTGTTTAATTAAAAATATTAAAAATATTATAGATTTTGAAACTTATTTTAAAAATATTGTAGTTTTAAAAAACTGAAGGTTAGTCGTTTTTTGAAGAGACGACTATTTAGACGTGGTGCCACGCGGGCGCCACGTAAATTTTTTTTTTAATTTGGACGTTGGTCATCTCTTGAAGAGATGGCGTCTCTTCAAGGGACGACCACCCAATCGGTTCATTTATGGAAAAAAAAAGTATAATATTTTATATTATATATTATGTACTAGCTTTAATTCAAAAAATTCCTTAGTAGTGCAGTGGGTGTACTGTAGCTCAATATCTCTTTCATCCTAGATTCGAATATTTTACATTATTATTTATTTTTCTCTTTTTTACTTAATATTTGSGTGATCTAAGATTTGAAACCTAGAATGGAAGAGATATTAAGCAACAGTACACGCACTGCACCACTAATCGTCTCTTAACGTTCAAATTTAAAAAAAAAAAATTATGTGGCCCGCGTGGCGCCACGTTTAAATGGTCGTCAGACGACCAACGTTCAGTTTTTTAAAACTACAATATTTTTAAAATAAGTTTTAAAATCTACACTATTTTTAATATTTTTAATTAAACAATTATATTTTTAAAATAAGTTTCATTTACAACAATATTTTAAAAAAAAAAACCCTATCAAACGGTCCTAAATAATTAAAAAAGAAAAAGAAAATAAATGAAGATCTTCTTCTCCAATTTTTTCCAGCTGAAACTTTTCTGACCAAATCAGGCTATCTTCTCGTCAACTCCCTCTCCTTTGAGTTT